TTTTAACAGGAAGAAACCTCCGGCAGAACCAGGCTCAGGGAGGGGCGGGGCCATCTGCTGCGACCGGTTGGGGTGAGAGAAGTAAAGTAAGTGAGTAAAGTGAGTGAAGATAATATTAGTTTAAAGGGTTAGGGTTAGTTTTTCCTTTGATTTTGACTAAAACCTCTTTTGGAGAAGGTTTTTAAGCATCTGCATTCACTCGGTGCATCTTCAATTCCTGGTATAAAACCAAAATCTAGACAATGCATTTTTAATGACCCATGGGTGGTGAAATATCCTGCTGTTGACAGTTTTACTGCTTTCTTTCTGACCCCTCTAACACACATGTGGTTAAAGAAAATACAGAAAAAGCCTTTAAATGTGAGCGATTTGACAGCTCGGGCTTCATTTGAGGTGTCAGACAGTTCCTGAAAGCTCTGCTTGTGCTCGGGGAATGGCTTTGAAACTCTCTCAAGCATTGTTTGTTAAAAGCTAATTAGTCTTATTACGACAGAGGACATGACCTTTGAGAACCTCACCGCCAACCATCAATGAGCCGGCTATACCTTTCAACAACCACAGAGTCTCCTTTTGATACGTCTCTTTAATCAGCGAGAGCCCGAAGCTTCTGAGGAGTGCGGACGTCTAAAGGCTGCTGAAGGTCAAAATGAAAGAGGCGGCGTTTAAAGTCACCGGTTAATCTGTCCTGTGATATTCCCGCTTCTTCAGTGGCCCTTGTCATGTCTGTAATATTTGTGTGCGAAAGCTAGATGAAATTCCTTCTTCTGCAGATTTAATCCAGGAGGTTTTAGAACATCGGCTCGCTTGCTTAATGCAAGTTTTACACAGTGATTTAGAGAATGCACATCGCTGGAAGCAATTTAGGGACTAGTTTACTTCTGTAATATTTGAACATACTCGCGCTGCGAGTCGCAGTTATGAATCATCAGTTATATTGTGGGATTTAATCCAGTTTTATTTTAGCTGTTACCCACAGTGGAGTTATGATTTCTTTTCTAATATTCGGTGAGGTTTTATAGGCGCAGGCAGCTCCGAGACTGATATCGGTAAACGTATTTGTCCGCAGGTTTATTGTAAAGCACATTGCAACTTACAGGTTCAGTTCAGTGTTTGTTATATATGCACCAGCAGCTTGTGAAACTAAAGGGCACAATAAAAATGAATCCATCAATTCAAATTGTGGGTAAGGGGCCCGCCTCCATCCAACCCTTAAACGTGAGTCATTTGCTTCAGTTTCTGATGCGTATGTATGCGGCTACTCAGATCAGACTGACTCTCATTCCTCAGATATCGTCAACACCGCGAGTTTTTCTTTCCATGATAATCATCGTATTAGTCTCAACTCTTTATTGACATTCAGCTTTCATATCTGTTCAGATGTGCTCCGAGCTATTCTGGTAATTTGGGGGATTTAATTTGCACTTAGTGTATCAATTAGCACTGCAAGGCCAGCACATAGTTGTTTCTGCAGAGGTGGATTTGGATGCGAGCCATTGTGTTAAATTAACTGTGAAAGTGTGGCATTGAAGCAGAGATGCGCTTAAATTGTGTTTGCTCTGTGTTTCGAGCTGCAACCTGCAGAAGTCAGAAATGCCTTTGTGTCCCTGGATATAGCTTTGCGTCCTAATTGCAGATTCCCGGGGTTTCTGTCGAGAGGAAGAGTGGCGCGCTGCATTAGAGCAATAATATTTGTGTTTGTGTGTTTCAGTTTTACGAGCTCGCTGGGCGTTGGATACCTGATGGTATGCACTGCAAGTTATCCCAATGTTTTGGCCTTCTGCTTCCTGGATGAGCTACAGAAGGAGTTTATCGTCACCTATGACACCAAACGGATCAAGAGTGCCATGCGGCCCTACTCCTTCATC